TTCCTTTCGTTCTCTTTCCCCCCACATTTTTCGGACCATCATCGGGTCATATTAAACTTATCAAAGCGACACATATCCGCTACGCTGCAGCCACCATCTCGCTACTTCTTCCTTTCGTTCTCTTTCCCTACTTTTTTCGGACCATCATCAGGTCATATTAAACTTATCAAAGCGACACATATCCGCTACCCTGGGGCCACCATCTCTCTACTTCTTCCTCTCGTTCTGCTTGCTTACTCTTTTCGGACCATCATCGGGTTTTATTAAACTTATCGATTCGACACACATCCGTTACGCTAAGCCCACCATCTCGCTACTTCTTTCTCTCGTTCTCTTTCCCTACTTTTTTTGGATGGCCATCGGGACCATGCGAAGAGGATGCGTTTCCTAAGTGATTGATCATATTAAAAAAAATCAAAAAAATTGATTTTTAAACTAAGAAATTGTTCATTTATCTGAAAAATCGTTTAAACAAATCGTAACCCTACGTAAATGTTCACTTCTCGTAATCAAAACTAAAATGTTCCAAACGAATGACATAAGTTTTGAACAGAAACTTGAGATGAATCTTTGACTGTACACAGCACTTTAAACACATGAAAGCACAAATTACATTGATGATTGCTGGCGCTGCTCCTTGGCTGCACGAGGGATTTACGCTTTTGCGCATTTTCAAGTCAACATTTTTGATTATACATAAGTTATAATGTAACGTTTACAATACAATAATTATGGCAGATATGTTTGCGTGTTGATAATCGAAATGTGTGCATAGCCATTTATGGGTGTGTATGTATTGCATGAATGTCTGCTAGCGAGCTTTATAGGCGAGATGGCTGGGCTGGCTGATGAGGGTCCCTCGTGTTCAAAATTATTCAAAATTCGAAGCGAATGTTTTTTAGCTGACGGACAAACAGCAGAAAGACGAATTATGCTAATCAAGGGCGTGTTTTCTTTATATGAAATATGTTTCGATCGAAACGATTGATTTTATTTACATAAATTTCTATTTATTTTTTGAAAGAAATTTACAAAGATTGCACATATAGCTTATGTCATATGCTAGCCTGGATTGAAAACTCTACTGCGCACTTGAGATTTGAGAACTCGCGACAATTGATTCACAATAAATAACTAAAAGTAAAATACAATTTTATTATTCAATTTCCTTAAAAGGCAAATTTCGAAGACAAAGTCTTGCTTGCACTATAATGCTTAGGTTCTTAAACATAAATATATATATATGTATATATATTTTATTTGCTATTCAATAATGCATTTTGGTATTTAATAAAGAAATTATTTTTATTATATTTTTTTAATGTTTTTGGTCGCACTTCTTATATTCAGCAAATTAAAAATAAATATTCGATATATTAATGATAATAATGATGTGAGGTGTGTTCAAATTTACTAATTCTTTAATTTCGAGCTCATTGTTTTCATAGTCTATTAATATTTTTCTTGTTTTTGTTTTTGTTTTTTTTTTCGTTTCCTATATAACGAGTTAATATCCACACATCTATACATATGCTTATACTTTTTAAATCTATAATAATGTGTTTTTAAAAAAAAAAAAAAACAAAAAACAAAAAACAAAAAACAAAAAAAGGAAAGAAAAGATTATTACAGAAAAATTGTTCACTTAATTGCAAAACATAATTTAACATAACAAATTGTCAAAATCGAATAAGACAATAAACAAAAGCATATTATGTAAATTTGTTTTGCACAATTTTGTTAGCCAAAACAACAATTGACCCCTGGTGCAAAATTTGTTTACAAAATTAAGTTGTATTAAGCAATTAATTTTATTTGATTTAGAATTAATAAAAAAATTTGAGCCGAATTTTCGATACCCGACAACAATAAGCAGATCCATCTGAATGAAAATTATATTATTATATATTTT